TGTTTTGTTGACACTCACTTAAATAAGGAGTCTTTCATCTGAGCTGAGTTGTGGAAGAGTTGATTCAAGAATGGTATCAAAGTGAATTCCAGGGAAGAGAGATGGGTTTAAAAGTTCCCATGGCTTTCTTGTAAGTCTGAGATACCCAAAATTGTCAACAAGGGCAGGCTGCTGACTTGCCAGATGCTTTCAGCTCAGCCATGTCTCTATAAAGAATAAGAGTGACACAGGAGCTGTTTGGTAATCCTGGAATTATTCTGATGACCTCAGCAGTTAGCCTGAAACAATTGCATTCTGTAGAAAAATATGTGGTCAACTTTCAAGGCTGTGTTTTACACAATAGTGCTTTGGAGTATGTGGAATGTGGTCACCTTTGCACACAGGGCTATTCTCCTCTTATCCTGAGCTGATACCATGAGGTGTGATAGTTGGTATAAATCTCGGCACAGGAAATGGCCAAAGAATGGCAGTCATACCTATAAATGCCACCCCAGAGATGTTTTTTGTTGTTGTTGTTGTTTTGTTTGTTGTTTGTTCTTTGGCTAGGTAATGGGGTTAAGTAACTTGCCCAAGGTCACACAGCTAGTAAGTGTCAAGTGTCTGAGGCTAGATTTGAACTCAGGTCCTCCTGACTCCATGGCTGGTGCTCTATCCACTGCGCCACCTAGCTGCTCCCCCCAACCCAGAGATATGAACAATCTTATTTAAAGGGCTTGAGTATGGCAAGTAAATTAACTCTTTCAGGCTACCAGGCTATAATTGAATACCTTAGGAGAGCTGTCTTGCCAAATGGTGACCTGCCTGGAATAGATAATTTACCTTCTATGAGTGAATATTTCACATGTAGTATTTTTCTTGTCTTGGCTCACCATAGAAAAAAGTACAATTAGATTTTATCACACTCTCCTGCAAGGGCCACATCTCCCTCGAACTTTTATAGAATGCTTCATGCACTGGCAGTGCCCAATAAATGGTCAATAATAATAGTAATAACAATAATAATCATGTAAGTACCTTTCATCTAAACCTCTTAAAGTATTTTGCAAACATTAATTAGGCAAGCCTCACAACACTTCTCTGTTTTTATATTATCTTGCACCCTTTTACAGATAGGTAAATTGAGACCCAGGGAAGTTAAGTGACTGGCCTAAGGTCACAAAACATGTTAAAAATAATAATAATAACACTTGGTATTTATGTAGCATGTCTTCTGAGGAAACACAAAAATATGGTAAAGATAATCTTTGTTAATATCCTGGAGAAAAGCAGATGGTAAGTATTAGTGTCATTTTATAGCTGAGTAAACTGGGGCATTTGTATCTAGTAACTCAGGTTGCATTGGAAATAAAGCCTTGTACCTCCAGCATGCTAGAGCAATGTTCTGGCTCCTGCATTACTCTCATTTTCCTGTTCCAACCATGGGGCAGATTCAGTGTTATTTTTCAAGTTTATAGGAACTGTGCCTATTTTTGGTAGCAGGAGCAAGTTGCAGAATGATAGCAGATCACAATGCCAGGTACGAGTTTGTGCACATCCCCAACTGAGAAGTCAAGATCTACAAACATCAAGGAATGGAGGAGAGAGGTGTTCTAAGACATCATGACCCAGGGGCTGAAATGGGAAGGGTCAGGAATGAGAAGGTGTGTGTGAGGCAGGACCACCTCACAGTGAACTAGCTTTGTTGATCTCAGTTACTAAACCGGGTTCTAGTCGACAACTCGGTTTAGTGGTTTCATTCTTATCACAGGAGTGAGTGGTAGTTCAGCCACCACGACCACTTTGCATTTTCAACAGACTTTGGACAAGTCATTTAATTTCTCTAGGCCTCAGTTTCCCCAGCTGTAAAATGAAAGGGTTGCACTGGATGGCCTCTGAGGTCCCATTAACCTCTAGAGATCTATGATCCTATGAACTTTCGGGTCCCTTAAAGCTCTAAATCTGTGGTCCTGTGGTAATTAACACGCTTTTCTGAAGTCACAACCCCTGGCTAGGGAATGACAGTGTCATGATAAAAAATGTTCACCTAAAATCCTACCTTCTACAAGTTTTCCCTAACTCCTCTTAATTTTCTCTTAAATTATTGCCTATTTATCCTGTAACACAGCTTGATCTGTCCATATTTGGTTGCATGTTATCTCCCCATTAGACTGTAAGTTCCTTGAGGGCTGGGACTGTCTTTTGTCTCTTTTTGTATCCTGAGGGCTCAGCACAGTTCCTGGAACATAGTAGGTGCTTAACAAATGTTTGGGGCAGGTAGGTAGCATGGTGGATAGAATGGATAGACCCAAAGGAGGTTACTAAGAGTCAGACGTGACCGGGCAACAACCACAACCACCATGATTTACTGTAGAAATACTGCTGTGGCGGAGGAAAACCAGGCCCCACATGAACTTCTAATACCTAAATGCACATTTCAGTCCCTTGAGATATTGTGCAGACAGTACCAGACTTGGAGTCAAGAGGGTATTGGTTTGGATCTGTTTCTTACTAGCTCTATGACTTTGGACAAGTTTTCATTTCCCTCACCTGTATATTAAGGGTATTGTGTTAGATAACCTCTGGGGTCTAAATCTGTGATCCTTTAAGAGAAAGAAGTGGTGGGCTTCAAAGACACCAAGTTCTTTATCCATAACAAGCAGCTGATTGTTGACTGCCCCCTCACCAATTCTATTCAATAAACATTTGTTTGCTGTTGTTGTTCAGTTTTGTCTGAATTTTCCTGACCCCACCTGGGGTTTTCTTGGCAAAGATACTGGAGTGGTTTGCCATTTCCTTCTCCAGTTCATTTTACAGATATGGAAACTGAGGCAAACAGGGTTAAGTGACTTGCCCAGGGTCACAAACAGCAAGTATTTGGTGCCAGATTTGAACTCAGGTCTTCCTGATTCCAGTCCCAGTGCTCTAAAGAGCCACCTAGCCACCTAAAAGTCATGGTGGACTACTATAAAGACAGCCACTTAAGCTTTTGGGGGTGGCGACACTTCACTTGGTTAGGGATTTGACGCTGGATTTGCATAAACCTAAGAGAGTCAATTTCTTTGTAAATAAGGTATGCTTGATTAATGTGTGCCCTTGCCCTTTTCCATTTCTCCTAACCCCACCCCCCCAAATGATGAATTCTAAGCTTTGTCTCCACCATCACTTAGGTGGGGGCGGGAAGGAATGGCAGGCAGCTGTTTGGAGTATGTGTGTTTGAACACACAAATATCTACATAAGCCCACAACTAAAGAATGTGCACCTATTTCCCTCTCTTTCTGCTTTCATTTATGAAATTTTACATATTAACCTACCACAATGAGTGGTAAAGAGAAGTTAAATAATACAGATGTAGGTTCTTAGGGGAACTCCCTCTTTTCTCCCCACATACACACACACTTCTTAACACTGGGTGGTAATTCTCAGTTCTGCAGAGATTCAGTGAAAGAAGCTGCCTAAGTAAAACCACCTCCTTACTCTCCCCCATCTTGCCCACTGAAGCACCAAGTCGTGATTGACTGTGCCGCTATTATTGAAACTCTCTTGCTTTCATTATTTCACAGCTGCTTAGTCTGCCCTTGCATTCTTGTTTTCTAATTGGGACAAGTAAATCAGCTATCATATGAGTTGGCCACAGTCCCTAGGTCTACATCAGAAGAAACTCCAGCACGCTAAGTTCAGGGGTAAAGCCACAAATATTCTTGTTAATTCACAAGGCACACTTCTTTTTATAAAGATGAACCTTTTATAAAATGTCATGAGATAAGAAATGTGCAAGAACAGCATAAAGATAGGATAATGCCACCAGGCTGAGACAAAAAATGCATGCTTATAGTATAAGATGTTTAAATATACAGAACTCTGTGGAACATTAATATTTCTAGCTTTTTTATGATAGTCACCAATGTGTCTTTTATGAATAGTATGTAAATTCCAGTGTAATACTTATCTGTTATGCTAATAATAATCATAATAAAAATAATAGTATTTATATAGTGTTTTAAGGTTTACAAACTGCTTTACATATTAACAAATTTCATCCCCACTAAAACCGTGTAAGGTAGGAGTTATTATTACCACAATTTTATAGATGAGGTCACTGAGGCATAGAGGTTAAGTGACTTACCCAAGGTCACACATCTACTAAGTGTCTGAGAGTCAAATTTGAACTTGGGACTTCCTGACTCCAGCTCAAGGCACAACATGGTGGGGTAGATCAATAAATCCACTTCTACATACTTTTCCTGTCTCATCTTTAAGATTTTCATTTCTTGATGATTTTTAGTAGATTATAAATGTGCATCGTTATAACTGCATATTATGACTGGGATAAAGAGATTGGAGCAAAAATCTAAATGAATCTGAATCTGAAAACTTTCCTGAGCCTTGAAAACAAAGCAGTTTAAAAATGTTCCCTTCTTTTTTAAGTCATGCTTCTCCACTTATTGGTTTGGTTCCTTAAGAGCAACACTGAAAAGTATTTTAAAAATAATGCTTAAAAAAAAACATCCCTATTACTTCCTTGAATAGAACCTGGGAAAACCAGAAATCTGTAAAAATACTCTAGAAGTGGGCATGTATAAGAAGAGTTCCTAGACTGTTTGTAGAGTTTTAGACATACTAAGGATCTCACCAAGTTGCACAGTTAAGCATAAAAGGATAATATTGATAATAGCTAGTATTTATATAGAGATTCAAGATTTGTAAAATACTTTACAAATATCATCTCATTTTACCTTTGCAACAACCCTGGGAGTTAGATGCCATTATCATCCCTATTTTACAGATGAGGAAACAAAGGCAAACAGAAGCTAAGTGACTTACCCAGGGATACACTGCTAGTAAGTATCTGAGGCAACCTTTGAATTTGGGTCCATTACATAATAAAAAACAGTAAGGAAGTTCACTGATGCTAGAAATTTTACAAGAAGCGAAGACTCAACTAAAATCAAGTACTCCTTAGCCATTTGTATTTAACAATCCAGTCTCTGATATGACAGAATATTAACAGATACTTTCTTACCCCATCCATGTGGATTCGGACATTGGGAGTCAGTCGGTATGGACTAGGCTGTGAACCTCTGGGATCTGTCCTGGTTTTCCTGCTTGGGTCCTGAGAGGTCAGTATGCCAGGTCTTCGGATGGAGCCCACTCTCACCATGCTCTGACCCGATCGGACGCCATCCAGGAGACGCACCAAGAGCAAGTTGGCTGGGAGCTCCTCAATACCGCAGAAGACCAGGGTTCTGCATTCTGGACACCTCAGTTCCTTGCGTGCTTTGAATATCCTCTGCAGACATGGTTTACAAAAGGTGTGCTGGCAGGGGAGGACTTTGGCTGTGACATCGAGCTTTTCAAAACACACGGGACACTCCAGAAGATCAAGTAACGCCAAATCATCCATCTTATTTTAAAACTCCAATCCTGGCCTGAACGGACAGAGTCCACATGGTAAGGTGACCTGAGACAAGAGTGGGGGATGGGAGAGCAGGTCAGATCTGTCCTCAGGAGAATACCAGCTGGGTCCTGGATTTCAGAGAATCTTGCCGTCTGAAGAAAAAGAGAGGATAAAAAAAAAATGTGACTGCTTTGAAATGTATCCCACCTACATTGTGAAGCAGTGCCTCATAAGGCAATTTGCAAGTGTGTACTTTGTTCCCGAATTCAAGTTTCAAGTGAGTCATTGTGATTCAGTAGTAGCAGGTACAGCATTGCCTCTCAAGCCGGCTGCAGGAATCAGAGGGGGCTTTCAACTGGGTGACAAATAACTGGAGTTTCAGAGGGAAAGCTAAAATCCAAGGTGAATAATTCATATTGACGTGGCTATGCTAATTCCTACCTGGAAATGGAAGCTAGGGGTGGGTTGGAAAGTACAAACCTGCCTCAGTCTCAATTTTGAAAACTTTTAACTCATAGCAGAATCAAAACCTCTTAGAGGATATAGATCTATGACTTTCTTTCCTCATTTTTTTCTAGGCATATGTTTGATTATAAGAGGCAGCTTGCTCTAGTAGACAGCAGGCCAACCTTAGAGTCAGGCAGTCTTGCCTTAGAGTCATAAACTCACTTTGTGACCATGGGCACAGGGCATTCTATTAGGGTAGGGTACGGGGAAGCATGTACACAAATAAATACAGAATAATTTGGAGAGAAGTGTACTATTAACTGAGGGATCAGAAAAGGCCTCTTGTAAAACTAAATTATGGAGGAATTACCAATCTGCAACAGCAAAGGTGTACACTCTACACCTGGAGTCCCTCACAATTCTGCCCTTCTGACCTATCCCCCCCCCAAAAAAGTTAATTACAAAGCAATATACTATGCAGATGTAAGGTTAGCATCTTTTAGATATGTTTCTTGTATGAGATTTCTTAGTAATGCATGGGAAAACTCTCATCTAGCAACCTATTTCAATAATAATTTTACCCCCAACTGCAAACTGGACGCTTTAAGCCTCACTCTGCTTACTTAGCGTGATTATCTAAGACAACCACAGAAGGCAATATTCCTCCCACAATGTAAAGTAACTGAGCCTGTTTAGCTACTTTGACAACAGTTCTGAGTTTTAACTGAAACAGATAGGAATTCTGGACTGCAGCCACAACGTCCAAAAACCAAGCCGAGTCCAGAGTTCACAGGTGTGTGTTTTTCTGTGAATATGTGTGTGTGTGTGTGTGTGTGTGGGTGGGTGGGTGTGTTGAAAAGTTCCCAAAGTCAAAACCCTAAATCTCAGAAATCCTGTCCTTCCTCTTGATGGGTGTAATGGCCCTCCCGAACTCGCTAGAGCTAAGTAAGCCTCTCGGAAAAGTCCGTCGCTCCACACGCAGCACTAAGCCAGGCTTCAGGGCTTGTGCGTACTGAGTAACTCTTGGGGAGAAGGCAAAGAAAAGATCGTGGTCTGCCCCCTAATAAGCAAGAGAGATCTTAAATGCAGAAAGATAGCTCTGGGTACTCCCACTGCTCACCCGCTCCCCAGCTCCCCCGCTCCCCTCAAAGATGCCACGCTCTGGCTCGCTACGGTACATAGTCAGCTCCCGGCCAGTTCCGCCACTAACCTCACGCCGCTGACCTTTGCAGAAGGAGCTCTGCAGGCGCGCTCAGCCCAAGTGTCTCGTGTCTTCTCCCCAAGCTGCAGCCGCCTTGAAAACTTTAACAACTATGTATGTTACTCATTTGGATGGCTCGGTTTACTCATCCAGCTCTGTTAACGCTTTCGCCGCCGGGCTGCAGACTCTCAGCAGGTTTCGGGAGGAGGAAGTACACTCCCTGTGGCGGAGCCCATTGTTTTTGCCGCCCTGTTTATTTCTGGGAAAAGGCGAGATTGAGGAACTAGATTAGGAGGGCGTAAATAAGAGCGAGCCACCGGACCAATGCACGTGTATGGTTTGCACGTTCACCTTTTCCATTCACTGTCTAAGAAGTTGAAACATGTCTCTGTTGTTATCAGACAAAGAAAGTCAACATCATTCCCTTCATCTTAAACCTTGAACCCTCGTGAGGGTTGAAACAACCTACGCACTCTCCTACTCCTATTGTAACAGCACGAATGCCTGTCTAAGATCTGACCCATCATATAATTGTGTTACCTGGAAGAGATCTTAGAGGTCAACTTGCCTAATACTTTAATTTCCAGGTGAAAGGCCCAAGAGCAGTGAAGTGACTAGTCCAGGGTCACTAGTTAATGATAACTGGGACTAGGCCCTAGTTGTCTTTACTTATAGCTCAGTGCTTTTCCCATATTACGATGTCTCACAACATAAAAATTGTAATTCTTCTATTGTTTAGCAAGTACATTAAGATAAACCCGTGGGGATAGACAACAAGCTATAACGGAGCGGTTATTTATATGTTTTTCAAACTTTGTCCAGTGCTGTTCTGAAAAATACTCATCTAAAAGAAAATGCATTTTAGGTATGGAGTAGAACAGATGTTACCTGACTATTTCTGAGCAGAACTTTTTTTTTGTTAACCACTTTTTGTTGTTCCGTTGTGTCCAACTCTCTATAACCCTACTTTGGGGTTTTCTCGGCAAAAATACTATAGTGGTTTGCTATTTCCTTCTACAGCTCATTTTACAGATGAGGAAGCTGAGGCAAACAGGGTTAAGTGACTTTCACAGGGTCACACAGCTATTAAATGTCTGAGGCTGAATTTGAGCTCATAAAAATAAGTCCTCCTGATTACAAGCCCAGTGCTTTATCCATTGTGCTACCTAGCTGTCCTAACCACTTTACTTCATAGCTAACCAAATTTGAGAAATATTTTTCTGTTCAATTTTGTAGATTCCTATACCATTTTTATACATATAAGCTCCTGCGGTGTCCTTATCACCTCTTCCAAATAATTGCTGGCCTTAGTTTGTTGCCCTTTGGAAAGCCAAATGAAATTCCTGGCTTTTAATACTCTTTTACTCTGTTCCTTAACCCATAAATTTATAACCCATTCTTTCTCCCCAACTCCCCAATCTATCTGGGAGCTTTCTTGTCAAAATGAATTTTTTGGAAGATGCCTGTAAATATTGGTTTTTTGTTTTAATGGAAAATGTAATTCATCCTTACTACACACACACAAAACTTGATAATGTACTATACAAATGCAAACATTTTAGGAAGGGCAGTAGGATCAGACCAGGGATTTCATTAATGTAAGGAAGGTCCCAGTGTGAAAACTCCCTCCATTAATGTATTATCTAAGAGAGTTGCCTGGGGGCATTGATAGATTAAATGATTTGTCCCTGAATCACAGAGCTAGAAAGCACTAGAGTCAAGACTTGCCATGTCTTCCTGGCTCCAAGGCTGTTCCTCTGTCTCCTGTGCCACATTACTTTTCATATGCAAACCTTTATCTTTTTTTATTGGAGCAGGAGAACTTCCTCTTCTGGGTGAAGAATTTCCTCTACTATTGTAGATTGGCACCTTCTCTTCAATTTATGGTCTTACAGAGTGACCTGGTTACTCAAAGATTAAGTGACTTGTCCAGAGTCATATTCGTCAGAGGCAGGACAAACAGTCAATAAACATTTATTAAGCACCTACTATGTGCCAGGCTAGGTGGCAAAGTGGGTAGAGTGCTGGCCCTGAAGTCATGACTCATCTTCTTGATTTCAAATGTGGCCTCAGACACTTACTAGCCATGTCACCCTGGGCAAGTTGGGAGCTGAAGAAGGAAATGGCAAACTACTCCAGTATTTTTGCCAAGAAAACCCCAAATAGGGTCACGAAGAGTCTGACACAGCTGAACTACAACAACAGTGTTTCAGACACTGTGCTAAGCAGAAACATATGTATAGATACACATTTTCACATACATATGCAAATTTGCATTATACAATTTATACATACAATGTCAGGTCAAGTCACAGGCAAAATTGTGAAGCATGTGAGGTTTCTCGCTTCTCTTCTTCCTCATCTCCCTCTGTTCCATCCTTATTGTCTTTTTTTTAGCAGCACTTTCCCTGTACAGGATTATGTTTTCATGCTTTCACTGAAGAGCTCAACAGATAAAATAATTCATAGTAAGATGCTTACTAATTATTATCATGAACAATGTTAATACCCCTTATTAATAAGGGACTTCATAATCCAGCCAGTGCTGGGATTATTTGCATTTTAAAAGAGGAAACCTGGTGAAAGCAATGGTCTACCCAAAGGAATAAGTTGTTAATGGTGGAATTTCAGACATCAGTGCCAAACCAGTGAAAAAGATCATTCAGGAGAAGCAGGTCTTCCCAAAGTCCCTTATGATATACCATATAGGTGACCATCTAGAATACTTCAGGGATGACTAACCTTGACTGAAACTTTGGCAGGGAATTCTGTTTGTAGATGGTCCTTTATCTTCAGAGGCTGGCCGATAGTATTAAGTCAGGATTTACCCCAGTCTTAAATGCTTATTTGGCAGCAGTTCAGATGAATATCTAAAGCATATAAACAAACCAACAAATAAAAACCAACAAAGTGAACCTCCCCAGACTCTAGGCTCCTACCTCTTTTTTTTTTTCACCGTACATGTAGCCTGTTGTCAGCAGTTGTGTTTGTAAAGGTATCATTGGCTGTATGTATTACACTTAAAATAAGTATGTAACATTTGTACCTACTGTTTATATTTGCAAATGTACCTTACTTTATCTAATTGTCAAGTTCCTGAAAAGTTATAGTCCAATTAAGATTGGACTGTAACTTAAGACTAGTCAATTTTAGTAAATCAGACCATACTTTATGTTCATTCCTGATTGGTCTTTAGTTGACAGTTGCTTTAGTGCTTCAGCTTTCCCTCCCCATAGCCATGAGTGTCAAACAAGTACTCATCTATGGTCATGTAAGTCCATGAAGATTATACAATTACAGAATCTTAGAATCAAAAACCTCAGAGTTTAGAAGGGGCTTCAAGTCATCTAGTCAATTGATCAATAAACATTTGTTGTTGTTACTCTTCATGACCCCATGGACCCCATGCCAGGTCATTCTATTCTCAACTATCTCCCGAAGTCTGTCCAGCTTCGTGTTTGTTGCTTCCATGACATTATCTCTCCATCTCATCCTCTGCTGTCCCCTTTTCCTTTTGCCTTCAATTGTTCCCAACATGAGAAACTTTTCGAATGAATCCTGTCTTCTCGTTACATGGCCCAAATATTTAAGCTTCAACTTCAGTATTTGACTTTCCAGTGAATAGTCTCAATTAATTTCTTTAAGTTTTGACTGATTTGATCTCTTTGCTGTCCGAGGGACTCTCAAAAGTCTTCTCTAGCACTATAAATTAGAAAGCATCAATTCTGCATCACTCAGCTTTCCTTATGGTCCAACTCTCATAGGCATACATTGCTACTGGAAAAACCATAGCCTTGACATTATGGAACTTTATTGACAAGATAATGTCTTATTTTTAGTATGCTGTCCAGATTTGCCATCTCTTTCCTTCCAAGGAGCAGATTTTTTTTTTTTTAATTTCATGGTTGCAGTTGCCGTCTGCAATGATCTTTGAACTCAAGAATGTAAAATTTAACACTACTTCCATTTCTTCAACTTGTATTTGCCAGGAAGTGGTGGAAACAGTTGCCAAGATTTTGGATTTTTTGATATTAAGCTTCAAGCCAGTTTTTCCACTCTCCTCTTTCACCCTCATCAAGAGGCTTTTAATTTTTTTTTGTTTAGTCATTTTCTTCAGTCGTGTCTGACTCTCTGTGACTCCTTTTGGGAAGTTTTCTTTTCCTGCTTATTTTACAGATGAGGAGCCTGAAGCAAACAGGATTAAATGAGTTGCCCAGGGTCACACAGCTAGTAAATATCTGAGGACATATTTAAACTTGGGAAGATGAGGCTTCCTGACTCCAGGTCCAGCACTCTATCCACTTTGCCACCTAGCTCCCCAAACATTGATGAAATGTCTCCTAAGTGCCAGATGGAGTGCTAAATGCTAGGGATAAAAAAAAGGGGCAAAAGTCCCAACCCTTAAGGAGCTTGAAATCTAATGGGGATTTAACTAATTAATTAACTAATCTAACTTCCATCTGAAGCAAAAATTCATCTCCCCTCCCACTAGTTTCCTTACTTAATGGAAACTTTTTGTAAAATTCAAGAAATATTTTGTAATATAATTAACTGCTCTCTAAATCATCCATTTTGAATATTGAGCTTGTCATATCTTTTTTGTTGTTGTGTGTTAAGCATGTCACAAATGTAAGGATTTGTCTTCTATTTCTCATATCTAACTAATTCGTAGGACAATACTAGATACACATTAGGCTCTTAATGAGGCTTGTTGGTTATTTCCTGCTTGCTCAAGTTGTCTTTGCACTTTTAGTTTCTAATAATGTTAGGTCACATTTGGCACCTTAATTGAAAGACCAGAGGGATGTGGAATGGCTAATTGCTTACCTATACAGGTAAATTTCAGGAGAACAGGGACCATTTCTTTTCTAAACTTGACTTCTTCTCCAGCGTAGGACTGGCATAGGACTCTGTACACAGTAGGTGCTTAAAAATGTTTGTTAGATGCCTGGATTCATGTATGAAGCGTTGAGAGTCAAATGCAACAAATTAAATGGTTGTTTAATTTGTCACCTTTCCTTAAGGGTTGTGATCCCAGAATTTGGTTGGTTCTGAGGTTCCTTCTAGAGGTCTCAGGTTTGGGACAGAATTGAAGTATAGGCTAAGCA